CTTAATTTCAAAAAAACTTGCCATTTTTAAAGAATGAGTTATAACTAATTACTTATTCAATCAAACATTTTATCAAGTTATACAAAAAATATATAACAAATTTATATATTTTGAATAACAAAAACACTTTAGGTTTTTTAAAAAAAACTTCAAACAACAAGAAATGAGCCAAATAGATAGGTTTCATGTTATGGTGGTTTCTTGGTATTTACAGAATTAAACAATTTTATTTATTTGGAATTTGTTTGTAAAAAGTATCAAGGCGCAATGTTGAAGTATCATTAAGAAACGATTCCATACAAATCAAAAGCTAAAAATTATTTTATATAGAGAGACTTTATATTTGTATGACCAAACAGATCCCTTTTGATTTGACCTTTCACAGCTGATTGGTCTTCCCACACGTGACGTTTTGAGTCAAAATATTTTAAAACATTTTATCACGTCATCGTCAATTTTCCAGTTGACTATGAATATTGCAATTTGTTTTCAAAAATCAGAACTTCACTTTTAAAAGTGTTTCATACACACAAAAAGACTGAAATTGCTTTGGCAATGAAATTCCTAATAATTTAAAAATCTTGTCACAATCGTGTTTTGAGAGGTGTCGTGGTGTGTCGTCTATAAAAATTTCTGAATGTGCCGAATATATTGATGATCGTTGTTTCAATAAGTGTTTGGATTAAGTAACATTAAATATTCCAACACATTTAAAAAAGTTTGGAAGTCATTGTTTTGATGTGTGTTTTGCATTGACGTCGTTCACAATACCCGACAGTGTTATAAGTCTTGGGGATGCATGTCTCGCGTATAACATGCATGTGACTGCACTCACAATACCAAAGAATATCACACATTTGGGCGTGAAGTGTTTTGAGGGGTGTTCATTTCAAAGTGTCCATGTGGAATGTGGCATGAAATATTTTAACACTGGAGTGTTCTATAACTGTAATAAATGAGTGTAGTTGATATTTCCGAGTCGATCAAAAAAATTTATGACGAGTGCTTTTATGAATGTGACTCTCTCACAGATATCAAAGAGTCGGATTAATTTCGCCTTTTTATTTTTCGCCTTATTTTCTTCAATAAAAATTCAACAAAATGTAAAAACATTTGAAATTAAAAAATATTAATAAAATAAAATTTACAAAAAATAAAAAACTATATATATAAATATCTTTTAACAATTGATACAATAATTACACAAAACTTATTTACTTTTTGTATTTTTTCATTGCATGTTTTATTTTTTTCGCTTTTTCATAATCACTTACTCTTTTTTTCTTTGGTTTTTTTTTTCGTTGTTAATTTTTTCTTTTTCTTTTTTGGATATTTCTTTTTGTTTTTTTATTAACCATCGTTCTTTTACTGTTAATAATTGATTGAGCATTTTCATTTTCTTCCATTTCCATATCAACATTTTGATTTTCTTTGTCGACTTAATTTTTCTCCACAAATAAAACACAATTGGTTTCATCTGAATAAACACTTTCATTATTATCTGTTTCATTTAAATACCCCAAAATTTGCATGTTTGTTATCAAATCATTTTCTTGTTCAACTTCAATTTTTGCACATTCAGAGTCCAAATCAAAGTATATTTGCATTTTCTTTTTTGAAAGTAATTTTGTACATTTTTCTAAAAAACAATAACATCAATTTTATTTTCTCCAAACAACTCTTTTGAAGTTCTGATAAAGTAACATTTTTCTATAGTTTGTAATTTTTGTCGAGTCTTTTCCAATTCTTTTTCAAACAAATAAAAATGCAAATCTATAGATTTTTGGAATGAAAACAATTTATCTAAAAATTTGTGTATTGGGGGATGTGGGATACAAACAAATCTGTTTAGAAAAGAATGAAAGCTCTCTGCCCGATTGTTGGTTCTTTCTGAAAGACCAAATACTGACCAATATTTCATTTTGAATACTCCATATATATAATTTGCTTCAAAGTAATTTAACAATTGTTTCACATCATCATCATGCATTACATAATCTTTTATTTTGTTGAATGCGTTTTTAATCATATTAACTGGAAGATAAGCAAGCGCCATCAACATTTTAATTATTGTTTTAAATATGTCGCAATTTTTGAAGCGATTTGAAAGCCCGAGTGTTATTACTCTTCGATAAATAGATTGACACAAATGGAAATGACAACATTACACTATCACCTTGTCGCCGACAATATCGTTATAAACATGATTTCAAAATCACACATTATAACAACATTTTTGTGAAATAATGGATAGTTGCAAATTGTCATTATTTTTGAGAGTACCAAACAGGATTTGGTACTCATTCTTTGACTTGGATGTTAGGCAACAATAAAATATGGGAAAAGACTCGTTATGTTTAAATCATGGATCGTATATAATTGCTGAAAAAGTTCTGAAATTTAATAAAAACACAAAATTTTGATTTAACGTTTTGTATATTTCACAAAAAAAGTTTATTAATAAAATATATATTTTAACAATCAAATTATTTTTATAATTTGAACAATAAACAATTTTATATATCGATAATTCAAATGTTTATATTTAAATATAGTTTATTTATTAAAATTAAAACTATAAAACAAATAATTGTTACTTTTTTCAAATATGTAACAAACTTGGGCACGACTTAAATGTGCCATTTATCAAAATGACACTGCATTGTTTAATAAATTCAAAATATTCTATTTTACCAAAAATAAGCATTTTATCATCTCTGTATAATAACATTTCTTGTTCATTTTTAGTAAATTTAATTTCAGAAATAGTTTTGGGATTATCTGAACTATTTTTGTTGTATATACAATATGTTCACATGCCAATAATCTTTTGGAAGACCCAGTAATAAAAGCTTCAGCTACAATTTCTTTTGTAGTTTTTAATTTGGAACTTTCTTTGGTTGATTCACTTTTTAAGTTTAAAACACATTTTTTGTCGAAATATGCAGTAGAATCGTGGTCATTCGGTAATCCTTTAAGTTTACCAATATCCTCATATCCAATAGGATTTCCAGAATTATCGAAAAGCGGTTTAATTCTTTTTTGCATTTTTCATAATCACATTTAAAGATGATTCTTTCTTTATCTACTGATCTATACTTATATCCATCTACGTATGGTTGTTTTTCCCTTTGTTTGAGTCAATCATCTCAAAATTTGGTAGAACAGCTGGGGTTTTGATATCCATTGATTTTTATGTTTATCTTTTACTTAATAAATAATATTGATCTACTTTAATATAAACTATGTTATAAATTTCAAACCTAATGTGTTACATAAAATTATATTAAAAAAATAATTAAACTTGTTATTATTTATAATGTATGATTAATACACATGTTTAATAATATTATTTGTTTAATTTAACAATTATATATCAAAAAATTAATGTGTATTAAATATAAAATATTTTTCTATATTTTTATATTTCAATACATTTTACATTTTGTTGAATTTTTATTGAAAAAAATAAAAAGGCGAAAAATCATTCTCCCGAATCAAATTGAGTCGACAGACGCGTTATCTTGGCGACCGTTGTTTCATGAACTGCTCAATTTCAAATAAAAATGCAATTACTGAGAGTTTAGAGTATATAGGAGAGGCCGCTTTAAAGGTACAGCAGAGTTCCCCAATTTCTGCTGAAATGCGAGTTTAGAAATGATAATATTTTATCAATTTCAAAAAAAAAATAAAAAAGACTTTTAATTTTTTTTATAAGTTAAATAACAAAAAAAATAAATTATTAATTTTACATTTTTTAAAATCTATGGCAAATATATTATAAATATATTAATACTTAAAATCGGTTTTGAATGAAGAAAAGAACACATTCACATATTTTTACTTATAGAGTACCGTGAAAAATCACTGCGGCGTAAAATATTACTGCGAATTGTTATTGTCCAAAAATAATGTTATTATTGCTTACAAAACAATTTGGTATAATTTTTTTGTTATTCGAGGCTGTTAAAATGAAAAACGACAATTTTGTTCTACAAAATCTTTTGAGGCTAAGTCAACAGATTGTGCTAAGAGGAAAAAATGGATTTTTATATACTTTTTATGAGAGTTTTGTTTTTTCCTTTTTCAATTGAAAAACAAAACGGTTTTATTTTTTTTGTTATTACAAAAAGACAATTTCTAAATTATAGTTTTGGATATCCAAAAATTATTATATCAAGTAAAAATGTGTTTTGATATTTTTAAATTGTGAATAAAAAATTTACCAATAATTGATATTGATTTATTCGTTACATCAATTTATGAAATATAATTTTATTGAACAGTCCATATCTATGCCAAAATATGAACACATTTTAACAATAAAGTTTAACAAAATATGGTATTGTTGGTGAAGATTAAAATTTATAAATAAAAAATCGTTCTTATATTTTTATTTACCAAATAATCATTTAACAATATAATTTCATTCTGATGTATAAAGTGAATTCCATAGTTGCTTTCACAATATTTTGTTATTTGAATAATCATTACTCACTGTCTTGTATACGTTTTATGAAAGTAGTTGATTTTTTGATAAAAAAAATCCAAAGAAAGAATCTAACCCGTCACACCGTGCCACAAAAAATGGTTAAAAACAAAATTAATAAACAATATAATTATGTATTTCATAACAACATTTGTATTATATAAACTGTGCAATAAATACTTGAAATGTCAGTTGTATGATCACTGGCTATTTTAATCGTCATATGAAGTGAAAATACATTCACGATTCACATTAAATAAATCAAACAATGAACTATTATTATAGTATAAATATAATTAAAATATAATAAACAAACAAGTGAAATAATGTATATTTTTAATTAACATCAACATATCAATAGCAAAAATTTATAATAAAACAACAATAAATTATAATTTATTTTTTTCTGAATGTGAAACTTTTTTTAATAATTATTTTCATATAATTAAACTAGTCGATTAATTATGGATAATTTTATTATACATTATCATTGTCTTAAAAGGGTTTATACACCAGAACCCCAAACAACTTAATTCTTTCATTTCAACAAATTATTTGGATTTTAAATTGGTGTGATTAAATTGTCGACCATTTGAAAAACCCACGTTCGTTAACCGTTTGTTATCATCAAATTGATTTATATTATATAAATTTATCAATATGATATGTTTATAACGTGTTTTTATATTTTGTTTATGTTTATTGTATTGCAATTTGTATTGTTATAATAATTTCGAAGTTGAAACGTTTATTCGATCTTAATAATTCGAGTTGATAATTCTGTGTGTTTTTATATTATTATTATGTTAAAACATATTGATTATAATGGTAATTAAAGTTTATTCAATTGGAGTTAATAATTTCAGTATTCCCAACAAAAATTAACGACTAGCTGAGCAGAAATCAAATTTCAAATAATGGTGTCCAAAAGGTGGACTATTTATTCAAATTTTCGATGTTTTAATTTATTCGTTTTTGTTATTTTGTTTTGATGTATTGTTTCGTATTATAAGTTATAAATTGTTAAAAACGATAAAATAAAAACCAATATATAGTTTAAGTTGTTTGGAATGTTCCGTTTTACGAATTTATACTTGTTTTTATCGATAGCCATATTATATAACATTTTTACAAAGTAAATTATTTTTTATGTTTTACAGGCAGCAATAACACTATTTTTTGACCAATAACAATTCGCAGTAATATTTCACTCCGCAGTAATTTTTCACGGTACTCTAATGTGATATATAGTTTCGACTATTGCTAATTAAAAACCATAAATACATAGTATATTTCTTATTAAATTATACCATTTGACATTCTCAAAAAACGCTGGTTGTCAATCTTTTACTTCGATTTTCAAATTAATTGGTACAACCTATTAACCGCATCACAACAATGACATTTATTTGGTTAACTGTTGTAAGTGGTGTGCTGGCTTTTTTGACATTACTCGATAATTCGCCAGACGATAAATTACAAATTCCACATTTCTTGCTTTTCTTTTTTAAATGTATAATGGTTAAAAAATAAAAAATTTTAAAAATAAAACAAAAAAATAATTATTTCGAAAAAAAAGAAAAAAAGCTATCGATTATAATTATAATACTAAATGTATAGTTAATTTTCTCCATCGTGAATTAAAAATCCGACTTAGTTTTTATATTAGAGTCATTCAGTAAACATTGTACACCTCAGAACCTTCTTAATAACGGCTATATCTATTATAAATAAGGTTGACGGAAAAAAAGTAAAATTTATTTTACCTATTCCATTATAAAGAAAAAATTTACCTTTTTACCAAAAAATATTAAAAAATAAAAATAAAAAGTTTGTAATAATGTTTGTTTTATAAAATTTAGAAAAACCTTGATGTCTTTTAAAGAACAAAAAAAACGGCATTTTTAAATTAATTACCTTATTAAAAAAAATCATCATTATTCACAAACATTTTATCAAATGGACATTTATATAAAACAAACATCAAGTTAATGAGTAATTTATATCGTCTATAGCGTTTGGGGTTGTTTATGAATAAAAACAATATATTAATGATATATTGTCGGATTCATTTGTAATTTGAACAGATTATATCATTAGCATTTTTTATAAATAATTTAAAAACGTGTTAATTTTTTTTAAAAAATAAAATGTAGTAAGAATCATGACAAATGTAAAATGTGATATAATGTGCTCTGATATTATTTTATAAAACTGTGTATTTTTTAAACAACAAATAAGTAATAAATTTGATTGATCAAACCACAAAAAAATATTACAACATGATAACCGAAGGGACCTACATTGACTACCACCACCTCTTAAAATAGATTTATTTTTTCTATTTCAAATCATATTCAAATTAAAATTAAAGTAAATAGGAAACTGGGAAAATATTAGGTATGGTTCCTGAATCCAAGAAATACCGAAAATTCACCTCGAGTCAGTGAAAACCAAGTGAGACGGAGCATTGAAAAAAAGGCTCATAAAGACGCACTCATACAGTCTGTTTGTGCACCGTTTCACCCACTTTCCAAGTCCTCCCTTGGCGCGGATCCCCCCTGACCCCCTTCGCAAGCGGGGGGAACCACATCCGCGTCCACACAGTACGGACAAGGAAAGTTGGCGACATGGGGACGCACAAACAGTGGCTGAAAAGTGGACTCCCTTCAAAAAAACACTCGCGGCAAATATTTTTTTTTGGTAAAGGTGGTGGTGGTCAATGTAGGTCCCGATAACCGAATTAAAAATTAATTCTATCAATATCAGAAAGAAATTATAATATTTGAAACTCTTAATAATCTATCAGTTGCAAATTCAACAAAAAAACGATGTCTATTAACATTGTTGATAGACAACGAAGTTAATACATACAAGATAAATTAAAAAAACAAAAATTTCAAGTTTTTTAAAACTCACTTTATCATATGATTATATGATATATACAAATTTTAAGATTGTGTAAATTGGCTTTAAATTGATTCTTTGTTTGTCTGGTGATTATATATAAACTAATGTGTATTTTACATATTTATTGTTGTTTGTTACAAAATTTAATAATTATACACAACAATCGTTTTTGCTTTTCAAAAAACATTAAATGACAAAATAAATTTTTGATTTTATTGTTAGTTTATTGACTAAATAAAAGACCAAAAATGTATTACTTGAAAAAGGTGCAGAAAAAACGGCTGGATCTAAAAGTTCCAAGGAGGTAAAATATATACTTTTATGCCAAAATCAAAAATTTCATGGTAAAATAATTTTACGTCAACCTTAATTATAAAACATATAAAACTTTAAATAGAATTTTTGTAAACACACCAATAACATTTTCTTTTTTCTATCATGTTTTTCTTTTTCCAAATCAAAACAAACACAAAAACAATAAAATCGTTTAATTTCAAGATCTTCTCGTTTTTTTTGTCGTAATCAACAAACACCCGAAAACCATACCAAAATGACGATCTCAAGTTGAGACCGTTCAATCAGCGAGAGTTGGCTAGTTTCCACTTGTGGTGGTGGACATGTGGAAGGCGTTCCGTTGGGTCGTTGCGGCACAGAGCTGCCTCTAGTTTGTTAATATATATATATATATATATATATATATATATATTGACAATTCGATTCAATTTAATACAAAGAACAAACATCTTATGTTTTTTAGTTCAAAGATAATGTTTAAGTTCTCTAAAATCAAATATAAAACTTTAAGTGTTATGTTGGCTCTGTTATTTACTCTTTTTTATCAATAATAAGTCTGTATTATTTCAAAAGTTATTATAGAATAATTGCTAGTTTTGTATAGTATGTTATAGTAATTTTATTTATTATCCAAGTGATAAACCTTTCTTATTTTATCGGATTTAAATTCAATTCCAATACATTTTACTGCCAGTTTTATTCATTTTAATATTATTTGTTTCCGTTATATTTTTTAAAATAAACAGTTAAAAGTTCAAAAATCTATTAGAAATTATATTTTAACAATAAAAATACTTAAAAATGAAAACTATCAGTTGTTCAATTTAAAAGCTATGATTCTTTTTGTTTTGTATAGACAAAGTAAAAAATTTCAAAAAATGTTATAATCAAGGTGAGCTATATAACAAAGATAATAAATGCTTTTTAAAAACAATATTTGAATATAGAATTACAAGAGCCAAGTGCTCTAAATAAACACATGGCTATAGTAATTATAATAAAGGCTGAACACTTATATTATAATTTAGTTTAGTTTAATAATGTGTTTGTGTTCTTTTTTTTACTATATTTTTGAAAAAAATGAAATTGTTTTATCGTTTGTTTAATGCAAAAACAAAGAATTGTTAATGAAAGCTTTCTTATAATGTTTTATTACAAAAAAGCTTTGAATTAATTATTTCTTTCTTTCTTGAGTTGAAAATGTTTAATTGAAGCATCACCAGAATTTCTGATATGTTCAAACATAATATTTATTATACTTTATGCCATATATTCATTTTTGTTGTTCAAAAAGCTTATAAATAATTCAGAATAAAGATTATGTCTTGTTTGTAAAAAGTGTTTTTTTATTTTATTTACTCATCAAGTTTTTTGTTTTTTATCTTATCTTGGCATATTATTTTGTTTGTATATAAAAGGAAGATAAATAATAGAGTTAGATAATTACCAAAATGTGGGATTAATAGGGTTGACGTTTTTTAGTTTTAGTACTGTTCTAATCCAATTATTTCTTTTTTTTACTCTTTGTAATTGTTGTAAAGCGGGAATTACCAAAAAAATAAGTTTAATATGGTAAACATTATTGTTTTTTGCCGACAGTTTCATTTATTCTAAGAACTTTCTATGGTTCTAAAAATATAACACCAAGTAAACAATGTTTGAGGAGTGTACAACCTTTACAGACTGACTCTATTTTGAATATAAAAACATTCTTAAATAAACAAAAAACTGAGACTGAACCCTTTTTCATTCAACAGCTTTTCGAAGAAGAAAAAAGAAAACGGATGTGGGTTATTCGCTTTACTTTTACCATTATTTCAAATTTTTTACAACATCTTATATAAATATATTTACTAATGTGCAACAATTCCAAACAAAAAAAAGAAAACACCATCTTGTAATAAAATATGACTCTCCAAATAATTGTTGTGTCTTTGCTTTTCTTTTTTACAACATGTTTGAGTTTAAAATGGTGCGGAAATGGAGGTCAAGTGGAGTGTGTCGACGACAACTTATTTTGTGATGATCTTTCATACAATAATTACTTGCCACTCAAAACCCACAATAAAAAATACAAAGAAATTTATTGCAAAAAAGATGCAGTTTTATATGTCGAAATTACAACTGGGAATTTTACTTATTTGATATTTTCAAATCAACAATCTACTTACGATTTATCGTTAACAACACATCAAACTAAAGGTCTCGTGCAATCTGCTTGTTACATGTATAATTGCATCACTTGTCATTATGACTATTGGGGGAATGAGAGATGCGAAATATGTAATATTGGGTTATATTCACTTGGTGGTGTTTGTTATCCGTGTGAAGGATGCTCGAATACGAATTGTGGAAATTCCACAACAAGTAATATTGAATGTGATGGGTGTATAGATGGATATGTATTTAATTATAATTGTGAAAAATGCAACGATAAATGTAAAACGTGCAACCCCACAAACACGAATAACTGCACTTCGTGTTATTATGGTCAAAGTGTATCAAACGACAATTGTACATATTGTTTTGGATGTGCAAATCATTGTATTAATGGGTATAAATGCGCATCATGTGACGGTAATCAATATATTGATTCAGATGGGTTTTGTACAAAGAATTGTGACGTGTCTTGTAATGGCTGTACTGGTAGTGGAACAAACAATTGTGTCAACTGTGCAGATAATTACTACAAATTAAGTGGCTTTTGTATGAAGTGTGGATCTCCAAATGTGTGTACGACTTGTTCAAATTCAGTGTGTACAAGTTGTCAGAGTGGATATTACCTGTTTAATGGCATATGTACTTATTGTGGAGATCATTGTGTTAATAGTACATGTCAAGTTGATACTGGGTGTTCCAATTGTGAACGTGGGTATTATTTTAATGGTAATCAATGTAATACATGTGTTGATCATTGTAACTTGGATTATTGTAATGATATAAGAGGGTGTATACAATGTGTTGGTGGGTATTACTTATCAAACGGTGTTTGTAATAGTTGTATTAACAACTGTGCGACGTGCACAACTTCATCGTATTGCTTGACGTGTGTAAGCAGTTATTATCTCGATACAAATCATAATTGTCGATATTGTGGTGATCAATGCACCAAATGTGATCAAACCCAAGGGTGCACTACTTGCAATGGTGGGTATTATCCATACAATCACGTTTGTGCAGTATGTCCAGCGAACTGCGACTTAACATATTGCACGACAACGTCTGGGTGTACAAAATGTAATAGCGGGTATTATTTATCCAGTGGAATTTGTAATTCTTGTGGAAACAATTGTGATTTCTTCACATGTGTAAATAATGTTGGGTGCACACAGTGTACAAGTGATTGGTTTTATTTGGACGATAATAGAAAATGTCAACGTTGCATTTCGCCGTGTTCGACTTGTTCAAATGCAACTGTTTGTAATACTTGTGTTTCAGATTATTATTATCTGAATCCAAGCAACGCTTGCACTCAATGTGTAAGCCCGTGTTTGCAATGTTCTTCACAAACTGATTGTAAAAGTTGTATTAACAAGAGTTATTGGCTTGACACATCAACAAATAAATGTATACGTTGTTCATCGCCATGTAACACGTGCACTGGACCAAATAATGGTTCTTGTATTACATGTGTTGCTCATTATTATTTTGATGCAACATCAAAATCTTGCACATATTGCGGAGATGGCTGTATTGCGGGTTGTACTAATACTACAAATGCACCAAATGTCAATTGGGGACTTATTTAGATGGTGGTATATGCTACAGTTGTAGCACAATCAAAAATTGTGACACGTGTGAAACGGGTAGAAAATATTGTACCAGGTGTGAACCCGGATTTGAATTGTTCAATGGGACTTGTTTGTGTCGCAGTGGGACATATCAAAATTCGACAGAAGGAACGTGTCAAATGTGTTATTTGGGACAACAAAATTGCCACTTGTGTTCAACTACAAATGATTATAAGGCTCATTGCATTGATTGTTATCCACCTTATCTTTTGGAAACAAATCAGGGAACTTGTTTAAATTGTTCAACATATACATATTACGATAATAACACCAAAAGTTGTTTACCCAATGGTATCAATTGTGTCAAAAATGCAAAGCAAAATGGTTGTGTTGAATGCAACAATAAAACAAGTTTTTTGAAAGACGACGAATGTGTTGCAATCACCGACAATTGTACAACCAACACTCGTTCAAATTGTGAGGTATGCGATTTTGGCATTTCAATTGGTACTTCATGTTTTATACATAAAGAGCATTGCAAATACAACATACAACTCAATGAAAAACAAGAGAGGTGTTTACAATGTAAAGATAGCAACATTCTCAACACAGACAACACTTGTACTTCAAATAAAAACAATGAAATAATACGAAACAACTTCACTTTTATATGTGAAAATGGATATTTCAAGAATAAAACGAATAGCTGTGAAGGTTGTTCAACACACAACGCTAAGATTTGTGCTTTAAATTTGACAGATAATTTCAGTGTGTTTTTGTGTCAAAGTGAATATGTGATAAACATTGAAAACAACACGTGTACAAGTGACACCAATTGTAACACGATTGATGGAAGTGACTGTACTGCCTGTGACAAGAACAAGACTTTAAAACGAACAAAGAACAGATGTGTTGATTGCAACGAAAATAATTCACACTCAAATTGTGAAGTATTTACAGACACGTGTGAATGCATTCAATGCACAAATGATACGCTTTTAGTCAATGGAAATTGTGTGTTAAAAAGGGAAGTGAATTGCCACAAGACAAATGGGTACACCTGCATCCAATGCAACGAAAAATACACACGAAACAACCAAGACGACCATTGTGTATCATCAGAACAATTTGTGAGATACTCAATGCACACAGTTGTTAACAGCTCTCATCAAACTGTTTTTGAGTGTGAAACAACACACTTTTTGAGTGATGGAAATTGTGAAAGTGTTATTGGTACTAACATAAAGGATCAACCAATTCAAAATTACAAACAAGATGTGGATAATACCAAATATTTAATGAATGAAAATAATGATAGCACAAATTGCAGTTATCAAAACGAGAAAGGGTGTCTTTCATGCAACAATGGATATTACTTGGAAAACAATAAATGTGTTAAATGCTCCAACAATTGTTCGACTTGCTTCAATTCAACACTTTGTCTGACATGCAACAACTCAAATAATTTGTTACTCAATAACAAGGGCGAGTGCATCGTCACCGATTTTGCAATAAGTTGCCAACAACCGATGGGCAATGGTGTTGGATGTGCAATATGTAAAGATGGGTATTACTATGACCAAAAGTTTTGTTATGAATGTGATAAATCGTGTGCAATCTGTAAAAACTCAATTTCGTGTTCGTTGTGTGCAGACACATATTTTTACTATAAAAGAGACAGTGACTTGTGTATCACCTATGACAAGTTAATTGGGTGCAAAAACAAGACGTCACATGGCTGCGATGTGTGTCAAACCGGGTATTACCTCACAGATCCGTATTGTTTTAAATGTGCAGAAAACTGTCTTTCATGCACTTCACTGAAATCATGTGAGATATGTAATGCCACCGATTACGTCTTAAAAGATGGCATTTGCTTGTATTACACTGAAATTGAATTTTGTACTTCCGCGTACAATGGATACTGCACATCTTGTGAAGGAATGAAAAACCCGTCAGATGATGGTTTGTCATGTGTGGAAGACAAATTGATTAAATTAAAACGAATTGGTATACCAATCATAGTCGTTGCAATTGTAATTATCATCATATCAACAACAATGATTTACATTCTCTTCAATGTGTATAGCAACAACAAAAATAAAAAGAAGACCCAAAATGTGTGTGTTTTCCAAATGAAAAAATCGAACATCAAATTTGTCAAAATATCGAAGGAAATATCAACAAACAAAACAGAACTGATTTTTGAAAGTGAAGATGAGAGTGGAGAGATACCAGTAAACGAATTTTCACGCGAGTTGTTGTGTCTTGGCAACAACACGACACATCAAATAAAAATGCAGTTGAAAATAAAAGAAGGGAATGATGTTTATGAAATCCAAGCCAATCCCCCTCTTGTGACATTGAAACCGGATTATGCTTGCGAATTTGAAATATCTATAAAACCAAATTTCACATCAAAAATAGAAGACAAAATTGCGTGTGTGACTTTAAACATCACCAAAGGAACAGAAGATGTCATTGAAATACCAATCAGAGCAACAACTGTCATGTCATATCGTCTTGATTATCACGAATTGATAGAAGAAAATAAAATCGGGGAAGGATCATTTGGAATAGTTTATAAAGGCACTTTTAGAGGAAATGTTGTTTGTATCAAAAAGATGAAAGAAATGTTAATAAACCAAAAATTACAAGAAAATGAATTTGAGAAGGAAGTTTCAATGTTGGTGAAATTTAGAAGTGAGTACATCGTCCACTTCTTTGGTGCAGTCTTTGTGCCAAATAAAGTGTGTATGGTCACCGAATTTGCACAATTTGGGAGTTTACAAGACTTGATAAAACACAAAACAAGTGATGAAATTAACATGAAACTTAGAGTTAAAATAATACTTAATGCTTCAAGAGGAATTCAATATTTACACAACAATGGGATACTCCACAGAGACATCAAACCAGACAACGTTCTCGTGTTTTCACTTGATATTAATGAAAAAATAAATGCTAAGTTGACTGATTTTGGTTCATCAAGAAATGTCAATTTATTGATGACAAACATGACATTCACAAAAGGAATTGGTACTCCAGTGTATATGGCGCCTGAAGTGTTGAAAAAAGAGAAGTACAAAATGTCATCAGATATCTATTCGTTTGGAGTCACCATGTTCGAAGTGTTTGGGTGGGAAGAACCTTACAATAAATTGGAATTTAAATTCCCTTGGAAAATCGCTGAATATGTTATATCTGGAAAACGACTTCCAAAGAAAGAGTCAATAACACAAGACGAATATATTTTGATATCACAGTGTTGGGATAGTAATCTAAAAATACGGCCATCAATCGATGATGTTGTTGAAAAACTGGAGAGGTTAAATCTATAACAAATAATTCTTGTTTTGTTTCAAAATAATTTGTATATAAAAATTATAATTAAATAATACTAAAGTTTATTCACATTAAAATGTATTAAAACACAATGATTTGTTATTGTTAAGCTTTATATTACACTCAAATTAATTATAATCAATCTGGATGTTATTTATTGAACGTGTTTAAAATACTAAATTTCAAATAAAAGTATTTGAAATAGAATATTTGTTAATACAATACTATTTCCTTAAGAGCCAATTATTAAAAAATATGAATTTGGGGAAACTGGCCACAATATTCAATTAAAAGTTCAATAACAATTCAAAGTTTTAATTAAAAACAAAACGAATATTAAATTAAATTTGTGTTATTTTTAGCTTTTTTAAGTTTTTTATTATTTTGTTTTTTAATGGTCTGGTTCCTTTTCTTGTTTTCTTTTGGATAGGTTTTGTTTTTTTCATTTGTTAAAGTACATTCATTTTCGTTTATACCATATTTTACTACTCTTTTTTCTTCATAATGTATTTCAACAACTTTTCCAAATTGTGTTTGGCTTTATTATCCATGTTTGCTTCAGCTTTGAGCCTCTCTACAAGGTCGTTTTTTCTTAGTGTTTCTTCAATAAAAGTATCAATATCACAATCGAGAATTGTATACATTTTGACGCATCGATGATAACAGATACTTTTACAAGAAACTCAAGTCGATCCATTCCATTCGTCAATTCAGTTGTCAGTTGTTTTATTGTTATGTTTTTTATTACAACAACACGTTTTCCTTGTTAATTGCAAATTTTTCTTCAATGATAAATAACGAATGTAAACATGTTTTATATATTCCTCCAAATAGTCAACAAATTTGTGGATATTAGGTGTTTTTGTTAATACTAACCTATTTAAAAAGAACTGTGAAATAATAATCATTATTGTTTGTGCGTTCTTCACTGCCAAATAAACACTAATTGCCAACTATAAAAACGCCGTTTATGTATTATTTTTTCAAAGTGTTTATAAACAACAGAAAGGTCGGTGTCATCTTTATATATTTCTTTTAATTCATCAATTGTTGTGTATATCATACTCACTGGCATAAATAGTAAAGACAATAATTATTTGATTGAACTTTGAACTCATCTCCATTTTAATAACCTTGTTTAAATCCACAATAAGAAACTTTCCAAATATATTCTGTTAATAATGAAAGTGAAAACACTTTTACTTTGACTTGTTTGGGAAACAAATTCTTTTTAAAATACAATTCATAATCTCACATAACAACCATTTCTCTGTTTAACCTTACGATGGTGTTATTAAAACAAAATAAATAACATTTATTTTTTTGACAAACCTGAGTGGCGCCCTTGTAATTCAAATATCGTTTCCAAAAATCATGTAAAACAAAAAACAATAATACAATAACAAATTATAGGGGGTCTATAAACTGGTTGGGATCCATAAACTAGTTGGGGAATGCTCCGAAACTTCGAAATAAATACAATGTAAAACATAATCAATTAATATTTGTTGTTATTATTCAAAAGAACAAAAACCCTTGATTTTCCGTTTTCGCTCACTTTTTGGAACAATTTTGATTTATTCGTTTGTGGTAGGAAAATGGATTTATTAACTGGCCAATAATATGAACGCTTTTTGTAAGTCAAGTATTGTGTTTGTAAATTTTAAAAATAATTTTTTTACAAATATTGCTTTTTAACAAACCCGTTGCGAAGTTACGGGTAAAAATTTGCAATAATTTTTGTTTTTTGGAACGAAAAATGAAACTTTTTTGTATTTATCTATAAAATAGTCATCGTTTCTCTTAACGATGATATTTATTTTAATATGTTTAAACACAAAGTGTTATATATGATACATGTGGTATAAGGTTATAATATTATTGTTCGTCATAAAGGGTAATATGTTAAAATATGTGTTTTAAAAAGTTAAAAAACGAATTACTGTTAAAATAATTTAAATTTTTTATTTTGAAAAATTGGAATTTCAAATTGTTGTAATGGACTCTTTGATAACATCTATTGAATAAATAAATGTAAATGAATGATAAATTAATGCACTACATTTATAATTGTAAGGTTGTTGATTTTTTGAAAATAAAATGAAAAATAAATAGTTTTATTGATAATAAATTATAATATTGTTTTAGTTTTATAAATTAATAAAGTCAACTTTAATAAACACATTCTTGGATATCAAAAGTGAGTTTTGTTGTTAAAAAAAGCTGTTAACAACATGTTAAATACATCATTCGAATGTTGTGTGTCTGATCCCTGTTATTTATTAAAGAATAAGTTGATGTTTGAATAATTATTCTTAATAAAATAATAATTTAATAAACTAATAAATACGCATAATAAATATTATTAATAATTATAGCATATAATAGTATAATATAAAATACATCTTAAGTAAAAACATTTTATAAAAATAATGTTTTTTTATCAAAATGTTCTCAATAAGTATTTTGATTGCCATTTATTGCCATAATAATTTCAAATGAATCTCGATGAACAATTATAATTTAATAATTTATTATATTAAAATATTAATTGTATTAATCAAAAACGTTGTTACGTTTCGATTCAAATTTTAAATAAGATAAATTTACATAAAAATAAGAATGGATTAAAAAGTCAACAGATTTAAAAAATCGAATTTTGGACTATAAAGGAAAAAATTATGTACTCAAAACAGTCATTCATTGCGATATTTATAATATGCGGGGAGAGATTGTGATAAAATATAATATATAATGTGTGTGAGAGCAATATAATTTAATTTGCCATTGTTGTTGACCACTTTTTGTGTAGTGTGTGAACAAAATGTTTGAATGTGTGTTATATGATAAAAAAGAGAAAGCGATTCTCTTCCGAAATAATTTATTTTATCCACAAAAAATATAAATTATTTGTTTTTATTCATTGGTTGTTCTTTGGTTTCATTGGTTTTTTATTAATTTCTAAATTTGCAAAACAACAAAAACAAAAATAGAAATAACATGTTTTATACTTACCAAAACTGCAGAGCAGGGTTTTTCTTTTCCAAAATACGTGTAAATATTGTTTTTTATTTTAAAAGTTTCTAATAAATTCCCCAACTAGTTTATGGATCACAACCAGTTTATAGACCCCCTATCTATTAACAACTAAAATTTTATTATTTGTTAACCAAATATCACCAAATATGGGACATGTTATATTACACAGTGTATATAAGCAACACGATAATAATATTTCATGAAAGAAATATAAAAGATATATTTAACACAGAAAAAAGGTGTCGATATACAAGCTTACTCTTGGGAAAAAAAATAAAAGCCGGGTGTAAAATGTAGACCCCTCTTAAAAATATTTCATCGTCGTGTAATAAACTTCAATGAAGATATCTTCTCCGCATTCAACGAACATTTCACTATTAAAATGAAATATATGATTTTAAATACAAACTCCGTTGTTAGTAAACACCGCGTTGGAACTTATTCCAATCGAACAACGAACAAAAGTTGAAACAATAAGAAAAAAATCACTATGTACAAAACTTGAAAAGTTAGGAACATGTAAACTTTGTCTTGGTCAATGTAAATCAAGAAAAAAGTGGTTGTTGTTTATTATTTTTTAACATAAAAACACATAAATTTCTTTTATTATTTACTTCACTAATTAATTGATAAACAAAAAATTGTTGTTTTAGCTTTTTTAACATTTGTTAATTTTTTAAAAACACACAAAAAATTAATAAAATTTAATTAAAAATAACTTTTTATTAAAATAAACATCAATTGGTATTAATAACTCAATAATACTAATAATCTATTGATTAAATAAATAATGATAACAACTTTGAAAATCAGATTGTATGGCAAAACTGGACCCGTTTCATATAATGATTGTCTCACAACATTTCAGTAACATTTCTGATTTTAAAAATCTTGAAAGGGTGCACCAAAAATACAGAGGAAACATGTTAAAGTTCCACTTCAACCCGATACCTCTAACTCCTGAGATTCTTCCTTTCTTTCCAAACATTGAGACGTTGAACGTCTGGAGTCTTCCCGCTCAATTCTTCAATTTTTATGACATAGTCAAAGATTCACTTCCACAAAAATATTTCCAAGAAAAGAAAAACACACAACAAAATTACAAATCTTCAAAGTACAATTTTTATCATTTGAACATTTGGTATGAAGTGTCTTATAGTTGTTCCTTGATAACAGCAAATGGGAGAATATCATATAAAAATGTCTGTTTACATAAGGACGAACGAAAAGGATGTGGCAACAAAATTCCTCAAAACGTGAGAAGTCTTGGGTACGAGTGTTTTGTTTGCGACAGAACGTTGAGTGAAATAGAAATACCAAACAGTGTGACAAGACTCGGTCATCGGTGCTTCTTTTTGTGTATAAATCTGGCAAAAGTTGTGCTTCCAAAAACATTGAAAGAGATTCAAGTGCTTTGTTTCAGTGGGTGCAAATCGTTGAAAGAAATAGAAATTCCAGAGACTGTTGAAACAATCGGATGGAACGCTTTTTCTGGATGTGAGATTATTTCTAAAGTAGAAATACCAGGAAGTGTGAAAGAACTTAAAGGATGGACATTCGGTGGATGCGTCTCACTTAAGGAAGTCGTTTTGAATGAAGGAATAGAAGAGATCGAAAAGATGGCATTTATAAATTGTGATTTAAAAACCGTTGTTATACCAAGAAGTGTCACATATTTAGAAAACTCTGCATTTGATGGAAATGTCATGATGTTAAAGAATTGAGTTTTTTTAGTTGTTATATTTACACTTTATATGATAAAAAACTTTGCGTTGTTTTTGGTGTGGACATTTTAGATTATAAACACAGATAAAACCTTAACCGAGATATAAAATTGCTTATAGATGAAGTAAAAAAGGGAGACAAAACAATTCAAAAAGTTTTTATATTACTAAACTTGGCATTTTCTTCTCCGATGAGCATTTTCGCAATGATATTTAATCCCAAGGACAATATCGTCAACCAACACTCATTTGCCTTATTATGATGGTTATACTGTTTCTATTCCAATCGTGACATTTTAACTGATTGCTAAACCATGTTTTGTTTTGTTTTTTTTTTGTCGAGTCTTTTCCACGAACAATTAGAATACAATTAAATATAATAAAATTGAGTACTTCAATATACATGTATTTTATTAGGAGAAAGCAAGAAACTTAATTAAGATAATATCGTTTTTATTCAAATGTATAAAATATTTTTATTTGATTTATTTTTATCATTGTCACCCAATTATTATATGTCACTTTTTCCAGTTGTATTCAAAATAGTTTGTGACACCCCTTCGAGTCGATTAATATTCGAAAACTAAAAACAATGTTTTATCATGTTAAAACAATTTGATAATTGGTAAGGTTTTAAAATTTATATTTGTAGGTATAAAAATGTGTTAAATAATCAATTGAAATTTTAAACCCTATTTGATCCTATTTTTGTGAATATATCATCAAATTGCTCGATAATTGTATCAAGAAAATTTTGTGGCATTGGTTCTGATCGTTTCCAATAGACATTTAAAACAGAATCATCCTTATACCCATAAACGATTGTAGGTAATAGTCTTTTCGACTCACTGACACAACACACACGTGGTCTTGTTACATATTTATAACACCCAATATTTGACACCCCAACAAATGGCATGTCAGTTGAAAAATCAAATTCGTTTGTATTATTATCCCCGTTTTCTGCATTAACTCGACTTCCTAAATAAGTAACAAAAATAGCACTTTCATTACTTTGTTGTGTTTCTTTCATTGCAGTATTACACCCTACAATTTCTTCAATAAAATCATTTTTTGATGTTATTATTGGAAAAACAGCAGCACTTCCACTAAAAAGTTCTCTCCGTTTCATTTCTTCTGAGGCACTTGTACTTGTTCGGGAATCTGCAGGAACGTGTCCAACCAAAGGTACCTCGTTTTGAATATTAAAATATTTTCTCAATCCCCTTTGAAAAGCACACATCATGATAGCCTGCACTCCCACCTTTTGCATTTTACAAAACGCATTTATCTCTGCATACGAATATTGAAGATAATCAGAAACATCAGTAAAGACGGCGTTTTCTTCTGGTGGATTAATTCGTGGGGATTTAGGTAAAGCAAGAACAGAAGGGAGTATAGTCGTTGCTTCACTTTTTGTTAATTTGGGAAACAAATTTTGTTGGCCAAAATCTGCTTGTTTGGAGTTAATTGGAAGAGGTATGTTTTCGTCTAATAAATGGGAAACAATTCGATATATCCCTTCAATTGTTCTACCATCAGAAAGACAATGGGAACAACATATATGAAGACGAATCACAGAATTTGATGTTGAGACAAAAACCATTGGTAAGGGCATACCACTCTTCCATTCTTTGAATAATTGAAGAGGTGATTTCACTGTCACGACTTTTCGGTTGCATGAGTAATCGCCGAGTAAATCAAATGGAACGGTTTTGATAAGTGGGGGAAGTGTTGATTTGACAAAACATGGTTTGCCTTTTAATGTGCAAACAGAGAGTCTGGTTATATCAAATTCATTGAAAAGAGTAGGAAGTTTTTTATTTAGATATTCCTCGACATTTGGTATTTCTGAAGAAAGTTCAAACTCACCACGGAGTATCATTATGGAAGGGTACATCATCTTTTCATACCCATCGAGATATCTAATGTACTCAAAGTTTGGAGTCAATTCGGAAGGTCTCATTGTTGTTTATAATTATTTAGTTCAGCTTTGAATTTTAAATGGAATTATTTGCAAACCTCATCAAACAACTTAAACCAGTAAAAATAATAATAGTTGACTCAATGAACCTTCGAGAATTAATTAATTTCGTTGAATATTTATTTTTGGAAATACAACAACCAAAATTGACAAAAAATAGTATTTTAATATAAAAAAATTCATTAAGTTAGTTATTGGTTTTTTCATTCAATCCGATAATTATTTTATTTTTTAAACAATTGATTTGGTGTATAAAAAACAAATTTGTTTAACCATAATTTTTAATAAAAGTATTTATAAAATATAATTAATAATTATAATTTGATCAAATTAAAGTTTGTTGTAAACAATGGTTTTTGTTCTGAATGTGGTTATTGTTACAAAAAAATAAACAAAAAATGTATTAAATACAATGAAAAAGGTCTATTTGTCTGATTTCTAATTAACGATATTTCAAAAATACAACAAAGAAATTTACTATATCTATTTTTTATATTATAATATATAGTATCGACCATTGCTTATTAAAAACAATAAATACACAGTAATTGTTCATCAAATTTTGCCATTTGACATTCTCAAAGAAACACTGGTTGTCGATCGTTTTCTTTGCTTTTCAAATCAATCAGTTTCACTCATTTACCACACAACAACAAAGACACTTTTGTGGTTAACTATCTTAAATGGTGTGCTGGCTTATTTGATATTACTCGGTAATATGACAGATGAAGAATTACAATTTCCACATTATTTGCATTCCTTTTTTGAATGTAAAGTCTGGTTTTTATTTAATTATATTCTAAAAATATAACAAATAAAATAATTATATCTAAAAAAGCTATTGATAATAATTAAATAATTAAACGTATAGTTAGTTTTCTCCATCATTAATTAAAAATCCGACTTTATAACATTTTTTTGTAAATTTTTTGATAGAGCCGTCGTTCCAGGGTGTCTCGCTTTTTCGAAAAATTTAAGAAAAAAGTCACATTTACATTAAAATTGACTAAGATATTTGTTTTTTGCAAATTTTGATTTCTCCATTTTAAAAAATATAATACAGTATAATCCGGGTTTAATTCCATTCCGGGTTTAATTAAATAATCGGGTTTAATTCATTCAAAAATAATTAAACCCGAAGTAAGAAAAAATAATAAAAACTACAATTTTGAGTTTTATTATCATAGTCTCGTTTTTTTTGTTTATATTTACGTAAAATAATTGGGTTTTTACCTAAATTAATCAGAATATTTGTTTTTGAATAAAAATGCATTATTTTTGTTTCTGGAACTATTTTTCGGTACTATAATATTATAAATTACTTATTATAAAATAATGAATAAATAAAAACGAACATAATAAACTCGAGTTTTTATTCGTTTTTATTTATTTAAACAGACTTGATTCACCACCACCTTAACAAAGTATTTGCCGCGAGTGTTTTTTGAAGGAAGTCCACCTTTAAGTCACCGTTTGTGCGTCCCCATGTCACCCACTTTCCTCCTCCGTACTGTTTTGACGGATGTGGTTCCCTTTTCAAACAGGGGCGTTCATTGGGATCCGCGCCAAGGAGGACATTGAAAGTGGGTGAAACGGTGCACAAACAGACCGCCTGTGCCTTCTTTTTGATTATCGTCTCACTCGGTTTCCACTGTTTCGAGGTGAATTTTCGGCATTTCTTTAATTCGGGAACCAGACCAAATATTATCCCAAGCTCCCAATTACTATAATTTTAATTAAAATATTATATTAAATAGTAAAAAAAAAACTTTATTTTTAGAGGCGATGAAAAAGCCTTTACCATCACCATTTGTTTTTGATTGAATCAAATAATTATTAAATAATTATAACTATGAAACTACCGAAAGTTAATTCCATCAATTATTTTTGTTTTAAAAATCATTTAAAATAATTTTCTTGAAAAAAGTGGAATTAAACCCGATAATTCCAAAATATTTTATATGAATTAAACCCGGATTATACTGTATTTTGATTATATTTTATTAAACATTATATTTAATATTAAATTTTTTAAAAACAAAAATAATTGCCACTATTTCACAGTTTGTTAACTATTATTCATAATAAACAATAAGTTTAGAGAGTATGTGGAATTACTTTTGTTCTTGAAAAAGTATCTGCTTCAAGACAATGTACATATCCAAGTTGATTGGAAGTGACAACACAGCCGTTATATATATAATCATTCAAGTTGGTATGAGTATGTCCATATATCCAATAATCGATTTTGACTTTATCCATCAAATAAGTCATATCAACATTAAAACAAGTTGTCATTGGATCTTTTTTATTGTAAACAGTTAAATCCACAATTGGGCAGTGGTGTGTTACTACAACTTTATATTGTGCAGTTGACTTCAGAAGTTCATGTTCAAGCCAATTTTTACAAACAGAAAATACGGTTCTGTAGGGCACCTGCCCATAGTTTTTCAACTCGGGTTGTTTTGTAATTAAAATGGGTTGAATTGGGTTAAACCATTTTATTTTGTAAAAGTCGTTGAGATATTGCTTGCAAGTACTTTCATATTGTTTGTCGATATCACTCCACAATGTTGTAAAAAACAATTGAGTGTTATTAATAATAACAGAAATGTTGTTCACAACAGTAACATTTGGAAACAATTTATTGTTAATAAAGTATGTGTCATCTACAAAGGACCCATCGTAGTACTCGTGATTTCCTGGAACAACAAACGTCTCTTTATAATTTTTGCTGCACCACTCGAAAAGGTCTGTTTTGGGATATTTAGAAAAAAGAGAAATGTCACCCGCTAATATCAAATAGTCTGCACTTTTGATGATTGGCGTCTTCTTCAAAAACAGATAATTTTTTGTTAGCTCTTGATGTAAGTCGCTTGCATACTGAAAACATTCCATTTTTAATATTTGAGTTTAACAATCCGATTTTTTAAATTTAAAGATAGATAAAATTATTTTTATTTTAAAATAACACATTTTTTTAAATGTTAATATATTTTTAGTTCCTATTAGTTCATTTTAATAAACAACTTTAAAGTTGAATGAACATGAAAACCAGTTTGATAATTTAAATAAGTATTATTCATTTATAATCTAATTGTTTATTTCTTGTTCATGTATTTTTCATTAAATTGTTATAAACTCTCTTTTGAGTTAATTTTATAAAAATTTATCAAATAATGTTTGAAGAATTCGAATTAAACAACACTAATCTAATGATATTGCTTGTTCTAAACTTTTTACGACCGTTTCAATATCGGACCTTTCATCGACATTACATGTCCATGCTCGAGATAATATGTCATACAATACATTGGGTATTTCTTCGGGTTTGTCAAATCGTTTGCCACTTGTGATGAAATCTGCGATACTCCATGGATACTTAAACTTGTCTTTAGGAAAAGGATTTGCCCAAATCAAACACTCATACATAGTAATCGCAAATGAAAATACATCAGCGCCCTTCTTGTATTTCTCTTTGCCTAACACCTCAGGCGCCATATACTTTGGTGTTCCAATTCCCTTTGTAAATGTCATGTTAGAAACTAATTGATTGACATTTCTACTTGACCCAAAATCTGTTAGTTTAGCATTAACGGTATCTTTCGCTTCAAGTGAAAATATCAGGAAATTGTCAGGTTTTATGTCTCTGTGTAATATCCCATTTTCGTGTAGATAAAGAATTCCTTTTGATGAATCAAGACAAATCTTCGTTTTCACAGTTAAATTGACTTCTTCGGTTGTCTTGTGATCCATCAAGTCTCTTAATGAGCCAAATTCAGCAAATTCAGTGACCATACATATCTTAGATGGAATAAAGACCGCGCCATAGAAATGGACGATATACTCACTTCGGAATTTGTCTAACATTGACACCTCTTTTGTAAATTCATCCATCGATTGTTTCGTCTCAGAAAATTCCTTCATCTTTTTAATTGCAACAACATGTCCTCGAAAAATTCCTTTGTAAACAATTCCAAAAGAGCCTTCACCAAGTTTCTTTTCTTCTTTAAGTTCGTCTGGGTCTAAACGCGTCGATATTTCAGTCTTCCCACTAATTCCAATCGAAACTTCGGAAGTCTCCCCTTTCTTTAAATTTGCAGAGAACAAAGAGATGGTATCTTCTATTTGTGTCGAACAATTCACCAGCAAAAAAACCTCAAATTCACACGCTTTTCCTTTTGGAATTGAAACGACTTTTGGCTCACTTCTGAATGAATATTTATAGTTGTCTCCTTTCGAAGAAAACTGAACTTTGATGGTGTTTTTGGAATTGTTACCAATACAAATTAATTCACGCAACTCTTCCCCAACTTTGAGATCACCACAATCCGCACTCTCAAAAGTTATTTTATTGGTATTGACTACAACGTTTTTATTTGTCGTTTTGATAAATTTGATGTTTGATTTGCTCATTTCAAACAGACACGTCTCCTTTTGTGCTTTCTTTCTCCTTTTGTGTTCAATCACTTTGAAAGTAATTATTATACACATTATTATAAACAATAAGATTACTATGAGTACAAAGAAAACACACACAAATATGACCCACCAGACAGCTTGCGTTTGGCAGGACGTTCCAGAGTTATTGGGAATATGCCAGAATGTGCATTTAGAGCACTTCGATTGTGCGATTTCAATACAATCAGATATTTTGTCAATTGAAGTACAAACATCTGATAATAAGACGAAGTTGTCTGTACATGATGTACATACCCCATATTGTGTACATTCAGTACAATTCGTTGTTTTTGAGTCACATTTTGCACACATCTGATTTACAATGAAATACCCCTTCGAACACAACGCACATCCACTCATAGTTTTTATGTCGCAGTTATCCAAGTAGTCATATGAAAGACATTTTGTTGAATCTGTCAGCAAAAAGTTGTATTGTACACATTGTAGACATGTAGATTTCTGATTACATGTGGTACAATTCTCAATACAACTCTCGCACTTTCCATCTGCATCTCTGAAGTAGTTGGTGTGACATATTGCACATATAGAACGCGTCTGAATCAGCTTTTTGCAGTTGTTTGTGACTTCAGATATCTCTCCACATGTCCCATTTTCAAGTAAAAAGTAGTTGTCTTTGCAAAGGAGGCATTCATCTAAATTATAGCAATCAACACAATTGTCTGAACATTTGGAACACTTGTTGTCCTTTACAAAATAACCAGTTTGACATTGATAACACCTGTCGCCTTCTTGTGTTAATTTAGTACATTTGTCACTTTGTGTAGTGTTGAGTTCACATACTCTTGAAGGTGTATTAAAATATCCATCTTCACAAACTGGACATTTCCCATTTTTGAATGAAATTGCACAGTTGGTGTTGGCTTCGCAAAGGCCACTTGTATTCACAGTATAATTTTTGTGCTCACAAAAAGTACAATACGTGTTTTGGGTTGTGGAACATGAAGTCTCTGATAGAACTTCACACTGCCCAGTCACTCTATTGATGATTCCATTTTGCGAACACTTCAAACATTTGTCAAAATCGCACAAATCACACAATTCACCAAACGTAGTTGAACACCTTTTACAAGAATTACTCGATGTATCTTTGTAATAACTTGTTGCACAATACAAAATAGTCGATGTTGTTGCAAGTGAAACATTGCTTTGGACTTCACATATGACAGAATCGCCTTTATTGATTAAAAAGCTTATTGTATTACATATTTGACATGTTAATGAATCTTTGCATTGAATACAATTGTCTGGACATTTGAGACATGTTGTAGATGACGTGTAATACCCTTCTGAACACTTTCTTGCAATCTGTAACCAATAGAGTTGAACACTTCCCGTTGAATTATCAATTGGTAGACAGACACCATTGTCATCATAATAATAGTTCTGTTCACAAGAAATGCATTTTCCATCAACGCAACGAAGACACTTGTCAGGACATTGATAACATTCGTATCTCTTAGCTTCGTATTTTATCGGACATTCTTCACATAAAGAATAATGCAATGATTTATATATTCTATTACATACAGTTGATATAACATTGCATTTATTTTCATATAAATAACATTCATTTTTACAAGAAAGACACATCGAATTTTGTGTTGAGTCCACGTTACCTTCAAACCCAACGCAGTTGTATTTTGTATCACTTGTCACTGCAAAACTCAACGATTTCTTCATACTTTTTGTTGTCGAACTTTGAAAGCCAAAATTGTTTCCCATAAACAACTTTTTTGTTTGATCTTCTAAAGTGAACACTCCACCATCTATTGAATTGTCTTCGATATAAATAACACTTTCATTCACTTCTTTAAATTGAGTCAAATGGTTGATGCTTTTAGTAAATTTCAGAGTGGAATTATTTTGTTGTTCAAAATGACCATTGAAGTTTACTGTTTGTGCCAAGTTGTTGGTTTTCAACAGAATCATTGCGTTCTCCGTGTTAATTGGACAATGAAGGATATTTTCTTCGTAACTTAGGTGAGCATTCATATCATTTCCTGTGAAATTGCATTGCGTGTTTTCATTAAGTAAATTTCCTTCATGACAAATCCGATATAATTTCCCGCCAATCAGTTTTGAATTTGGAGTGAAAGCTTCAAATTGGTGAAGGGATTCAAAAGATATCAATTCGATGCAATAATTTAATGAAGTGGTGCTATCAAATTGGACAGTCATTGCATCGTTGTTGTTTTGAAAGTTTGCATCGGTTTCGATCATAATTATTCCATTTCTATTTGTGTTGTTTTGTGGATTGTGAAGAACAGTCTTGACATCTTCATCAATCAACAGCGTTGTAAATTGTTGAAATATGATATGCGTATTTTGGTTGAACTCCAACATATTTTTTATATGAAAAACGGTGTTAATGTTTTGGAAAACGACATCACTTTGGATGTTGGCATTTTGTGTTTCGAGGACATGACTTCCTGTGATTGTACTTCTTTGATTGAAAAAGTTGATTTGTTGCCAACTTTGATATGCAGCCACGTCGTAGTTGGCGGAGTCGATTTGAAGTATTAAACTGCTTTGTAATGAATACTCCAAACAATCTCCTTTGTTCAAAGACGTGTCTGATGGATCCCAAACGCCATTGGTGTAATTGCAATAACACATATACCCATTTAACAGTGATTCAACATAAAACACTCTACGCCCACAAGACAATAATGTACCATCACCAGTCAGTTTTTTATCAACAGAAAACAAGATTTTATTGGTAAAATCTTTGTTGTTATTAACTGTTTGTATATTGACGCCTTTTTTGAAGTAATAATCACCAATGGAAGTTATCGTCAGATTATTAATAAAAACTTCAATCAAGAATTCAACCTTAACATTTTCCTTCATTTCAAAATGTGTGAAAGTCATAGGAGTGGTTTTATCGTTGAATGGCGTTAAAATGTATTTCTTATTTGTGTCAAATAAAACTGAATAATACGAGGAAAGTTGAACTTCTATTGTGACTTCATTGTCAACATCATTTGTTAAATCCAAATCGTATAAAGAATGGTTATATCGGCAATCGGGATAATTCCAGTCATAAGTTTCAAGAAGTTGGTGTGTTGTACTTTTACAAGTACACGCCGTGTAACTAAGATATGTGGTTTTATATGATTTTTCGAAAAAGAGGAATCTTTTGTATTTAAACCGTTCACAGACTTCTTTTGCAACACCATCTTTGTTTTTGATTACAATTAAATCTTCATTTGAATTACCTGTAAATAAATATCTATTTCTGGAGTATAGATAACTTAAATTTTGAGTTGATGATTTCATATAATCGAGAGTAACGTGTTGAGAGACATATCCATCTATAAACAGTTGTACTGGTAATTCGTTTCCTTCCCAATATATCCAAATATAAAAGTACTGGTCGATATCTGAAAATAGAGATATGCCATGCCAATGGTGGTCTATATATGCCAATTTATCTTGTCTAACAGTTGTACGACAAAATGATTGATTATCAAAACAACCAAAAGCAACGAATAACCCTTCTGTCCGGTTTCCGTCCCATATTTTGATCTTTGCATAGTTATTTGTAAGTTGGAGAAACAACGTTTTTAAAACGATTTTATCATTATCAAAACTAAACACCTTTTCATCACCACTTTTCTCGCCATCATCGTTGAGTGTTTTTGTCTGGGTTGTGCAACAACTGGCGGTGAACTTAAATGTTATGTCGTTGATATTCCATTCACTAGACTCAACGCAATTGACATCATCTGCATACTGGATAACACCATCAAATTCACACCACTGTTTTGCAGCACTGGCGTTGTATAACAGAAGAGATAGTAGTATTACTCTCATCAATTAGTGTTTTTTTATTTTTTTGTTTGGAGTTTTTGGAAAAAACGAAATCTATTTTTTTGTTTTTCTTGAATTCGTTGTATTTGTTGTTAAGTTGTTTCATATATTTAGTTTGTTTTATTATAATTATATATTAAATACATTCTGTTATTAAAATAAAAATTAAAAAATGTCCATTTTTAAATATTTAAATCATTACAATAAATGGTTATAATTTATAATAATAATATAGTATTTTTTAATAAATAAAAAATAGTTTTTTATGTCTATCTTATTGAATATGATTAGAGTGTCCAAAAAAATGATTAACTCCACATTAAAGACGGGAGTATTGGTCAAAACACTTAACTTATTTAAGTGTCTATTTTGATTATTTTGGACATTCTGATATAAAGTCATTGCCAATAGTTGTTTAATCTCGAACTGTGTCAAACAAATTTTAAACCATTATAATTTGATATTATGTATAATTATAATAAATTCAACTCAAAATCATGTTTTCAATATTTTTCCGTTTTTTAACGTAATTCCTATTTTTATAAAAAAATATTTTTTTGTCGATAAGACAACTTTTGAGAAGGCTTAATTAAGTGTTTTGCTTCACATTGAATCTTCTATTAAAACGTTACAAATTGTACAAAAAACAACAAATTTGGCTATAGATATCAATTCAAATGATTTAGAAATCAAGTTAATTTTGAGACAATAAAACCAAATTTTATCATATTGTATTTTTTAAAAACTTATTATTATATCCACAAAAAAAATGTCACAATAACACTGTTTTTGTTATTTACAAGGGGGGAAAAACTGCTTATGTTTTTAACCTCTTCTTATCTTTTTAATAATTTTTAATAATATAATTATTATAAAAAGTATAATACAAATTACCACCTCGGACAAAAAAAGTCTCCACATTTTTTTTGTAGTAAACACACCCATACATGTTATTATTTAATTATTATTATTGTTATAATTATTATTCAAAACTATTATAATCAAGTAGAAGCAGTTTTTTATCTTCCATGTACATCGGCACCATTATTTGTAGTTTGTGTTAAAATTTTAATTTGTTTTTTTAAATTATTAAATTTTCGATATTTTTTACAGTTCATTTGGTTTCAAAAGATAACATTTAAAATAAAAAATGTGTATTGTAAATATATAGTTGAATAGCGTGCACGACAACAATAAAAACAAATCGAGAACTTGACTGTATCTTCGACTAATTAATTAAATTTGATAACAAACAAATTATTCATTTGAATAGTTTATTATTACATTTATTTTAGATTTTTCATTTAGTTAAAAACTATAATGTTTTTTTTAATTACAGTTAGACAAGTTTGCCTTAAATGGAATAGTTTGACTTAAATGGTTCATGTTAATGGTTTAAAAACCAATTATTATAGTAAACAGTGGGTTAAACTAGAAAAAAATATAATGGTTAAATAGAATAATATTTAAATTATTATTAATTCTATTGTTTTATGTTACACTCTGATCTTGAAAAATAAAACCACGACACATGTTAAGTATTGTTTTGTATATTTCAATGTGTTTGTCTCGTTGAGTTCAAACGCGCCAAAACATGTGCCGCCTCATTCGGAAACGTTTGTGTTACTTTATATTTATTTTAATATGATAAATCAGCAGTATTTCTTATCTCGATGGAAGAATACTGCTTTTAACTTAATTAAATAATAATATCCATAAAAACGAATTCAACGCAAGGAAAAACTGCCAAACCTCCCAAGAGTGGGATTTATTAAGAATCATCGCTTGATTTTGGCCAATAAAAAGTGGACCCACTCTTTAAAGAGCATGTCTATCTTGTTTTTGGTTTGTTCTTAAGAAATGCTCAAATAATAGAGAACAACAAAAATAATAATTACACACTCTAGGGAAATTAGACTGTATTTATAATTGAATTTTAAATGTTATGGTTACTTTATTTGACAAATTTTGATAAAACTTTATTGTTTGTGATCACATTAAAATGTTGGTGATGATCATGATTGTGTGATAGTTTATAATTATCTTTACTTTTTTCATTGCTTTCTTATTCTTTATGTTGTGTGTTTGGGTTTTTGGCTTGCTTTTAATTATTCAATTTTTTATATAAACTTGATAATAAAAAAGCAATTAATTAGTTCAGGTTATAGTTCAAATTTTTATTATAATTAAATTATAATTTTTATCATTTAACCCAAACTTGTCGTTTAAGTCAAACTTGTCATACTGTACAAGGGGATAAAAAACCGCTTCCTTCTTTTTAACCGCTTCCACTTGATTGTATAGATTTAAATAATATTAATATAATAAAATGTATAGTACTGTTTATAATGAAGGCTGAATATGCCTCGTGGAGACTTTTTCTGTCCGAGGTGGTAATTTGTATTAAACTTTTTATAATAATGTTATTAGTTATAATTATTAAATCGATAGAAAGCGGTTAAAAAGACGATAGCGGGTTTTTATCTTCCCTGTAATAATAAAAACTATGTTTATTTTTTTTATCAAAACATTTGTGTAATTGTCGTATTTTTTGTTTTTTATTTATTTATTGTACAGTCATTATTCGATATAAGGGTTATTTGATATAAGGATTTATTCGATATAAGAGAGAAAAATAAGAGGAAGCCCTTATATCGAATAATAGAAAAAAAAATAAAAAAAAGATATTTATGTGTTTGCTTTTAGTTGGTTATTTCATTATAAAAACTTAAAATGGTAATAATTGGATTAATTTGTCACTAAGTTAAAAAGTCAAATAAAATAATATAAAAACCATGTTTTATTAAATTTTTAATAAAACATTTTTATTAAAATAAACAAAATAATAAATTTATAATAAAAATAGATAAACAAGTAAATTTTATTTAGAAATAATACAATGAATGTATTTGCATTCTTTCAAAAAGAATACTTTCCTTGACAACTACGATTCATTCCGTTCATTAACATTTACAGGAATGTCTTCATTTTCAGGTTCAATATTATGTAATCTTTTTTGTAATTCAAAAATTGTTTTATCTATTTGCTCTTTTTGGACAATAAGCGTCTGAATATTTTCTTTGATATCTTCAACTTCTTTTTCGTTTATTTTTAACAAAGTATTCGTGTCGTTGTTATACTCTTCATTCGTCATTGAAGCGGGTATATTTTCTCCTTCAAATTCCCAGTCATAACGAGGATCAATAATTTCGTCATAGTCTTCAAAGCAATTGCGAAACCCAGCGTGTTCCCAACAATTGGTTATTGTCATCTTAGTCACTTTATCCCAAGCATTTACACAAATCTCAATTGCGTTACCAACTGTGAAAGTAGGCAACATTCTCTTGAGGTTTACCGAACTTAATACAACATCCATAAAAAGGCGATGGTAATGCCTCTTAAAAGACATAATTATACCGGCATCATCTGGTTGATATTTGGATGTTGAATTTTCAGGAAGGAAAGTGAGAACTATATGCCTCAAACCAGTGAGTTCATACACGAAACAATTCTTTTGATCCTTGCCTTTAAACTCGTATCTCTCGTCAAGATCAAAAAGTTCGTTATTTGTTTTCAACGTCAAAGTGTGGCTGGGACAATTGTCAACTATTAAAAGAATAGTTCTATTTGGAGTTAAGCGATCAATTTCGTCATCCCAGGATTTCAACCAATAATGAAAGATATAAGTGGTCATCCATGATTTTTTCTGGTTGATGTATATTGTTTTAAAGATAGTAAGGTGAGGGTCTTTAAACCATCTTGGGTTTTTTGTTGGTCCGATAACCAAAAGAGGTCTTTTCTCTCCCACGAGAGAAGTACAAATCATTAAAGAAATGCGAGCCTTTG